AGAAACACACATCAGACATTTGTGTCAACCTCTGTGGTTTTAAACGGCTGCTGATGCATCAGTCCAGATAATGGAAAACAAACTAAGACGTGGGTGTGAGAGTTACGCTTTACGCTATAATGTTTCAATGGAGGACAATAGAGTTTTTGATGTTATAAAAAAGACAAGATGAAAAATCAACAGAAAATTAAGAAATGTATAGAAAAAAACATGTTTTCATATAACACTGACCACAGTTAAAATCAACCATTGGTTCTGTGAAAATACTGTACAATAATGCTGATTGTCTGCTGAATATCTGCTGAATGAAAACTCAATGTCTACTGAATGACCGTTGGAAAATTAAAAATAATTAAAAATACACCATCATATTTGTGCCACTGGTATGACAATATACTTTTTATTTATAAAAAAATAAACAGCTTACAGTATTTTTAGTCTTTGTTTAAGTAAATGTTTATCAAATAATGTCTAATGTTACAAGTTATCATCTTTGTTGTATTTTGATGGGGAATCATTTCAAACTAAAAGTCAATAATTATACAAATATTAAAAGTCACTGCAAACTATTTTCAAACAAACCAATTCTTTTTTGCATACAGGAATGGGTAAAACTTGCAAACAAATGTCTAGAGACCAACAATTTACAGAAAACAATTATAATCAAACAAGTATTTCTAGTATTCATTTTATTGCATCTGAAAAAATATTATTTAAAAAAGCAGAAAAAAAAGCTTTAATCACCAAAAAAACTGTCTTTTGTATTTTGGGAACCAGCAGAATAATGTTTTATTGTGATTTTTGAGGTTTGTCACCTCATAAATAAAAGTAATCAGAAATTCCAACACGAGGACAGCTAAAGAACAGGAATGAAATCTGTTTTATTTTTTATTGGAGGAACACTTAAAAAAACAATAAATTGAACCGAAGGCAGATATGAGTTTTAAAAAAAGACAGCAGCAAAGATAAGGTGAAAGAAAAAGTGTCAAAAAATGTGAGAGTAAGAAACAGAGGGTGTGAAAGAGTGGATGTGAGCACCTTGTGCTGTGGAAAGGCTCGGGTCAGAGCCGAGACGGAAACGCCGCTCAGATCAGCTCAGCGGCTGACAGCTCTCTGACAGGGATTAGAGGACTGCCTGTAAATAATCGGGGTTCAGACTCAGGGCAGCTTGCTCCTTTACAAAGTGCTCATTCCTCATCCATCACTCCTCTTCTCTCTGTGTCGCCCCTACGGGGGCCAAACTCTCAAACAGCTTCTGGTTGATCTTTTCATCAGAAGACCAGTGGGCTTWTTTWTTTTTTTTATCCACACGGCTAAATGGCAAAATCAAGTGGAATTTTTACGACCCCGCTCCAAATCAGCTCAAGTAGAAACATTCAGATTTGGAGGAAAAATGGAAGGAACGTACAACAGCAGACTGGTGATGTCATTGATTCAAAGTGAACATCTGGGGGCCAGACACAGTCCCATGTGGTCCTGATACAGAGACGGTAGGAAAGAAGTGGGCTACTTGAAAAGCGTGTGGTTAAGTGACGCATCATGACACATCAGCAACTCTTTGAGGGCTTTTRATTGGAAAGAATCCCAAGTCATTTTTAACACTGCAAACAGACTGCTTAGTATTCAAATTACTCAACAGTTTATCTTTTTTTTGATGCCTATTTATGGGGATTTTTTTAACTAACAGGAGATGCTATCACAGTTCAGATCGTTTGAAGTGGGATTCTTTGGAAAGGTGAAATATTTATATCCTACTTGTAAATAACATTTTAAAGAGCTGTCTTGAAACAACCCCAGACTTTATGAACTTTCACATCCCCATTAGTTGGCATTACATGACTGTTATTGGTCTTTCGGCTACTCCTTTCTTCAGGGTTTGCAAACAGAACAATTGAGTTGTTTTATGTCAGATGCCCTTTCACCGGCTCAAACCCATCGAGCCACAGCAGAACACTTTTGTGTTACGATAGCAGATATTTTCAGGTTCAAACAGTAGCAGGAACAGTTAGCTGTGGCATCCATCAATCCGYCCATACTTATTCATCCATCTTCTGTTCTGTTTTTGCATCACAGAAGTACCAGGTCCAGGAGGGAAAACAAAACCTCCCTGTTCCTAGCGACCCTCTCCAGGGGGGACATGTTAAACAATTTGACACCATACAGGAAGTTGAAGCCGGAAAAGAAACGGTGTTCCCAGTAGGATGATCCCAGTTCAAGCCTTCAAATTAACTTTGACGTTTCATGTTTAACTTGGACTGAACATAAGCATTACGTTCCTCGTCTCACTGCTCTGACTGAGCACTGCTAACAAAAAAATAACTGAGCTCTACATGGTATTTTCTGCATAGAAACAGCATTTTAACACGTTCAAAACTGAAAAGTACTACGTGTGCGATCAAATAATAAATAATACAGAAATACYATTAAAAGTAAGAGAGCTTTACACATTGTTGAGTTGTATAGGTGTTGTCTTGAGTTAGAAACTTTCCCACATTCTGACAGGGAATTCCCACTTGAGGGGTATTCCAATTACATCATTTTGCAAATTAAATAATTGGCATCATGGGAGATACAGTTCATGGTCAATGTTGGCTTAGAAGCAGCTTAAGACATTCATACATTTTTGAAGCTCTCAAGTCACATAAAATGCTGTGAATGGCCACATTTGGCCCAAGGACCTTGAGTTTGACATGCGCCTTAGATATTTCTTTCAGGTTCGGACTTTTTTGATTCATATACTGTTTATATTACTGCTGTTTGTTTCCATATCATCTTAATTTGTTTAGCTGTAATTAGTTACTGCATTTCACTTGAAAGAAATGTCAGGGATTTCAGTTCTCAACAACAAGAAAAAGAAGGAACAATTCGTTTATTATAATAATACGTGTCAATAATCCCAGACCAGATCAGATTCAGGGTCTTGCCTGATGACATGTTGGTGGGAGAATAAACCAGGATCAAACCAACTATCTGATTTGGATCCTGATCTTCCTTCCTGAGCCCACCCCAAATGATGAGGGCTATAGAACATAGAAGGACCAGTAAATTTCAGTTTTGACTCAGTTCCTTCTTCACCACTACAGACCAATCCAACATCCTTATTACTGCAACCAAGACCCCCACCCATCCCTCCATCCTATGTGACTCAAGGAGGACCATGAGCTCCTCAACCAGGTAATCCACCATTTTACCACCTTTCAGCAGGAATATATTCTGTTGGAATAACATTTTCTCTAACATCAAACAGATGGTACATATGCATACAGCGGGTAAAATAAGTACTGAACACGTCACCATTTTTCTCAGTAAATATATTACTAGAGGTGCTAATGACATGAAATTTTCACCAGATGTTGGTAACAACCCAAGTGATCCATACATACAAAGAAATCAAACCATAAATGTCCAGAAATGAAGTTATTTGTAATAATGTGGAATGGCACAGGGAAAAAGTATTGAACACACTTACTGAAATTTATCTAATACTTTGTACAAAAGCCTTTGTTGTCAATGACAGCTTCAAGACGCCTCCTGTATGGAGAAACTAGTGGCATGCATTGCTCAGGTGTGATTTTGGCCCATTCTTCCACACAAACAGTCTTCAAATCTTGAAGGTTTCGTGGACCTCTTCTATGAACTCTGATCTTTAGTTCTTTCCATAGATTTTCTGTTGGATTCAGGTCAGGTGATTGGCTGGGCCATTCCAGCAGCTTTAGTTTCTTTCTCTGAAACCAACTGAGAGTTTCCTTGGCTTTGTGTTTGGGCTCATTGTCTTGCTGAAATGTCCAGCCACGTTTCATCTTCATCGTCCTGGTAGATGGAAGCAGATTTTTATCAAGAATGTCTCTGTACATTTTTCCACTCATCCTTCCTTCAATTATTTGAAGTTTGCCAGTACCATATGCTGAAAAACAGCCCCACACCATGATGTTCCCACCTCCAAACTTCACTGTTGGTATRGTGTTTTTGGGCTGATGTGCAGTGCCATTTGACCTCCAAACATGATGTGTATTCTGGCATCCAAACAGTTCAATGTTGGTCTCATCTGACCAGACTATATTCTCCCAGTATTACACAGGCTTGTYTAAATGTTGTGCAGCAAACTTTAAAGGAGCTTCAACATGCTGTTTCTTCAGCAGTGGAGTCTTGCGTGGGAGCGTGCATACAGGCCATGGTGGTTCAGTGCATTTTATTGTTTTCTTTGAAACAAACGTACCTGCTAATTCCAGGTSTTTCTGAAGCTCTCCACAAGTGGTCCTTGGCTCTTGGACAACTCTTCTGATAATTCTTTTCACTCCTCTGTCAGAAATCTTGCGAGGAGCACCTGGTCGTGGTCGGTTTATGGTGAAATAACGTTCTTTCCACTTCTGAATTATGGCCCCAACAGTGCTCACTGGAACCTTCAGAAGTTTAGACATTCTTCTGTAACCGATGCCATCATTATGCTTTGCAACAATAAGGTTGTGAAGGTCTTGAGAGAGCTCTTTACTTTTACCCATCATCAGATGGTTCTTGTGTGATACCTGGCCATCATTTGGGACTGAACCAGCTGATATTAACTTGCACTGACAAGGGGCAGACTTGTTTTCTAATTACTGAGAGAGTTCAGCTGGTGTCTTGTCTTTCCATGCCTTTTTACACCTCCCTTTCTTCATGTGTTCAACACTTTTTCCCTGTGCCATTCCACATTATTACAAATAACTTCATTTCTGGACATTTATGGTTTGATTTCTTTGTATGTATGGATCACTTGGGTTGTTACCAACATCTGGTGAAAATTTCATGTCATTAGCACCTCTAGTAAAATATTTACTGAGAAAAATGGTGACGTGTTCAATACTTATTTTACCCGCTGYATGTGCTTATAACACAAACATCCCAACACTTTAGAGCAGRGCTGTGTGACTTCACGTGTGTTGTGTCTGGAAGAGACTGCATCTTTTTATCCTAAACGAGGTTCCAGAAGGAGTCCAGAAAGAAGCTAATCTTCCAGACACACCCTGGCCCAAACCACCGGCAGAGCCCGAGTTGTGAGGAAGAGGGAGAGGAGGAGAAGAGGAGGAGGAGGTTCGGGTCAGAGAGGAGCAGAGGAAACTTTCCGAGGAATGCTGAGCTCAGACTTCACGTTAAGCCGGTCCATGAGCGGCAGGCTGTCAGCAGCAGAACCAGGACCAGACAGGCAGACAGGTGAGGGGACGAGGATGTAGCACACCTGCAGAGAGAGCTGCGGGTCGCGCGACGCAACAGAGAGCGAGGAAAGCAGTTTTGGATTTAATGCACGTGCAGCTCCTCACGAGGGATGAGTTGGCTCCTGTTGTTGGTTCTGACAGCAGCTGGGATTCAACAGGTGGGCTGCCCCAAACATACATTAGTTTTTTTTATTTTTATAGAAACCTTGTTTTTGTTATTATTTGTAAAATTCTTGTCTGYCATCAATAGGTTATATGCATGCATAMCTTTTTAATCAGCTGAGGCTTTGTTTGTTAGAAAACTTTTTATATTTTAATATAATATTTTTTACCTCATTTGTTCACATCCATACGTATATTAGTCTCTAATCTCTCTTAAGAGAGATTTATTTTTATCTTCAAACTTCCGAAGCAGGGTGCTGCTGTCAGGTTTTACCTGGTTCTGTTTGTTGGACTTTAGTGCCACCTTGTGGTTATTTGGAGAAACGCATCTGAAATCTGAGCTGTATCTGTTTTGAATGATTATGTGATTCATTATTTTGGCTGACAAAATAGTGGGAAATTTCTTTGACCAAATTGAGATAATTAAATAAAATAAATCTATATAATTCACGTTTTTTGTTGCAAATATCTAAATTTATATCTGTAAATCTCAAAGTTGTTTGTGCTTTTTTATTTTTCAATAATCTTGAAAAAAATAATCTCAGGTTGTTGTTTTTTTTCCCCCTATCACTTCATGCCAGGGATTGTTCATTTCTCATATATAACTATGCAAACTTCAGTCACCAAATTGTAAATGATAAATAATTAAGGACTGATGAGCAAATGAAGCCTTACCAGAGGTTTTTATTATTAACTTGTGAGTCATCCGCCTCCCTCTGATCTGCTCTCTTTCTCAGAGTAATCGTTTCAAGCTGAGCATGTTTTGGTATCACTCTCTGCTCTGTAAATGAKCCACATGGCTTCCAGCTAAATGAACTCTTCTGAGGGTCAGCTTAGTGGCACCGCTCTGATTAAAACTAATTTATCAGCATTAGCTTTCGACATCATTCAGAGTTGTCATTAATGTTTCCACCAAAGGGAGAAGAAGCTTAGAACAATCGACTGAGGCTTTGCCGCGCTCAAAAGATGATTGAAAATGTTTTCTCACAATTAGCTCTGGATTGATCGAGCATGTTTGCCTTTAATTGGGGAAAATCTCAATATCTGAATGAGTTCAAGACTTTACAAGAAATATTGAACCCAAAATCAAATGTGCCGCTTCGTGTCTGGACTTTGTCGCACTTTACAGCTACCATCTTTTGAACATTCACCATTTATGATGTACTGMAAAGCTGATGTTTAATGTATTAAAATGAAAGGAAATCTTAGTCACTGAATGGTTACCCACAGACCCATTTCTGGTGTTTTTGTCCTCAAAACAACCTTTTAGTTTGTTATTTGCACCATTAAGTTAARAAGACCAAAAGACTTGGGCTGCTAACGCTCCTCAAGTGACCCGTTTCAAGTGCAAACATCTGGTTTTAGGAGCTGCAAACCTCGACACAGTCTGAGCTTGGCAACTCTCTGCAGCCTGGGAGCAAAGAAACATGCCGAAATTAAGAATCATCAATGGGATTTTGCAACTGTTCAGCCTGTTTTTACCCCTGTTACATACAGGCCAAACTAGCCCCTGACATTAATTTAATAGGATTTTCTCAGCTGTGTGTTTAATTCACTTTTATAGCCTTATTTAATTTGTTGCACAGCTTGACTGAATATTAGTGATTGTGTTGGCAATGAAGCAACCACGTAGGGATTTGAGACTTCTCAGATCAAATACAGACCATGGCAATACCAGGATTAAAGATAATTGAAGTGCTGCTTATTACAATGAGTCAGATATCTTTTTAAGAGATTGAACTTGAACAGTAAATCAGAAGCTGCAGAAGTTACAGGCTGGTGTCACATTTGATTCATAAATAAACAGGGAAGTGCACTCGGCCATATAGTCAAAATGGTTATTTTGGTGAAATATCCAGATCAGAAACTACACAGTGTGGTTAAAATATAAGTCTACTCTTTCTTTCTCCAGGCCTCCTCCCTGAATTCCACTGCCATGCCGCCAGCCGAGACCGCCTCCTCGCCGACCGCAGAGCCGCTCAGCCGCACGCGCTACTGCAAGTGGCCCTGCGAGTGTCCCGAGGCGCCCCCCAAGTGTCCGCCGGGCGTCAGCCTCCTCATGGACGGCTGCGACTGCTGCAGGGCCTGCGCCCGGCAGGTGGGCGAAGAATGCAACGAGGCCGACACGTGCGACTACCACAAGGGACTGTACTGCGACTACAGCTCGGACAAGCCTAGGTACGAAAAAGGAGTGTGTGCATGTAAGTGTCACTGAAGCAAACATCAGAGATTTACACATTTAGGATGTTTTTTCTCTGTTTGGGGTGTTGCATGTTGCAGTTTTCAGTTAAAACAAGATATGTGTTGAACATTATGGGGAGCTAAATGTAGAATAAGATGTTTAAATATGTCACTGACACATTTTCATTATTTAGCTCACTTTCTGAGTGAAGAAGAAAAAATTTCATTAACATTTTATAGTTATTAAACTGTTCATACATTACTGTTACTAAAAGTTAAACCTAAATGTTAAACTCTGAATCTAAATGTAAAAGTTAAATCTTAAATGTTGTGGCTAAATGTTATAGTTATATTTAGGTACTGTATTTTGGAATGGAACACAGCTTTTGCCATTGGTCGGTGGCTTTTGTTGTGACATCATCATCCTGAGACAAAAGCARCTGMTAACACTGCTAACTCTGCTAGCTCTTCCTTATAAGATGTCAAATCCCAGGTACCATCCAAAATGTTTTCAATTAACACATTTTGAAATAAAATTTAAATGCTATCTTCAGCAGCATTAGCAGCTGAAGATAGCTGGCGCCAACATCAAAGGCTGTGCACCATWATGAAATTCCTAAATGTGCACTTTAGCACTTAGCTCTAGATTTTAACATTAAGATTTATATGTTTAGATTTTTTAAAATTAAGCCCTAGATATAATATTTAACATTCAAAATCAACATTTAGTAAAAGTTATCTAAATGRGTCTACATCTACTCTCCAACCAATCTTGTGGTCATAATTCAGCACACATCAGGTTAAAGGTACAAAAACTTAAACATGAATCACATTATAAAATATCTACATGAACAAAAACAGTTTCAGTTATGAGGACTGAGGTACTATTTGTGATGGTTTTGTAGAGTACTGTAACACAAAAGTTTTCTATTATTTGCTTTACACCACATACACCAATCAGTTAAATTATGACCTCTGTTTTGCTGGAAAAGCCTGTATCTTAGGCTTCACACGGATATTACKTTGACATTTTCCACAAAACTGAACAGTTTTTGAAAAAGACAGGGTTTTCCTGTATGGGGGGCCACGGTAGCTTGGTGGTCAGTGCTGCAGTCTGCAAACCTGTGGCTGCAGGTTTGAGCCCAGGTTGCATAAGGAAGCCAAATCTTTCAYGCCTTTTGCCTCAGTGTGGCATCCCTGCAGGAGGGAGCAGCCAGAAACAGAATAACATGGTTTTGCTGTAAATTGCAACAACACACCCCTACAATGGAAAGCAGTTAACATTAGACATGTCAGTGAGTTTAACCTCCTACAACACAATCTGYTTGTATTATCACATGAAAATTCAGCAGCAGTGCACGTCTCCATAAAGAGTTTTCTTGTCGTTTCTCTCTCTCAGATATGGTGGGAACTGGCTGCGAGCATGACGGTGTGATCTACCGCAATGGTCAGAGCTTCCAGCCCAGCTGCAAATACCAGTGCGTGTGCGTGAACGGCGCCATCGGCTGCGTGGCGCTGTGCACGGAGTCGCAGCCCCCCAGGGTGTGGTGCCAGAATCCGCGTCGGGTCAAAGTCCGGGGCCAGTGCTGCGAGCAGTGGATCTGCGAAGAGCCCAAGAGGGGGCGCAAGACGGCGCCRCGACATGCAGTGGAGGGTAGGTCGCTCTGAATTGTCTGTTTATACCCAGACCTCTTACTGACATGATGCCAAATTACACAACAAGCTCCTTCGGCTGTTTCTYACTGCTTACTTTTACAGCTACACTCAAAAACAGATGTGTTGGATTTACTTAACCAAGTTTTGTCARCTGGTTCCGCTCAAATGATTAAAACATAAAGCAATTTTCACATGTACTTTTAACGTAAATGTGAAGCTTTATATTTACTCAACTCAGTTGAGTGGAACAAGTTGACAAAACTCAAGTCCAACACATCTGTTTTTGAGTGGATTTGTTGCAGCTCTCAGGTTTTTACTTGTGAGCTGTGTCGCTTCCATCAAAATAGCAATTAAAACAAAAATGCTAAAATATATTAGTTTTAAAATTTCTGTTTATTGAGTTTTATTGTGAATAAAATATGGATTTATGTGCTTTGCAAGTCATTGCATTCTGTTTTTATTTGCATTTCACCCAGCGTCCCAACTTTTTCACATATGGTTTTGTGTGTGTTATTGTTTTTTTAAGTCACTGCCAGCTGAATTTGATCTACATCATCAACAAAAATGTTTGACATGGTAGGAAAGAACTAAAAGCTAATAATGCAACAGAATAAATCAGTAAAGTATTTAAAAACAAAGTTTGCTCCAGTTACAAAATAGGTGTTAATTTGTCTGCAAAAGGGATTGAATTCACAAAGTAAAAGAGAAGCAGCTGTGTTTGACTTTGGCTCTCACAATAAACATGAGCTGTGTGTGTGTGTGTGTGTGTGTGTGTGTGTGTGTGTGTGTGTGTGTGTGTGTGTGTGTG